GCTAACATTTACATTATTTTATTTTCTTCAAGCATCATGTTAAAATTTTAATAAGATGTTTTGGTGAGATTAGATAGAGAGTATGCCAAAGTACTATGTCAAACTTGAATAGCATCAAGATAGCCTAAGGAACTCCAGTATGAAATCGAATTTTGAAAAATGATTGTTTATTATTTAAAAATTAGCTGGAGATCAATAAGGCTGACTTGGGTGGTAAGTTTCAAGTTGACATGATTATTGCCTTGTTACCAAACTCATTCGACTCTGTTAGAGTGAACTAAATAAGGAATCAGTTTGAGTTCACACTCGCTGATATTCTTATAGAATTGGTAACAGATGAAAGGATAATCAATAGTATGGGCGTTCCTATCAATCTAACCTAGTCTATACCATCTTCTTCTAGGCCCAAGTGGAAAGGCAAAGCACAGAAGAAGGATGATAATAGGACTAGACTAGCACAGAACATGGGTATTCAAAAAGGTTAAAGGGAATAAGGCAGTGTATGTTGAGGGCGAAGAAAACTGTTTCTTTTGTCGTTTACTAAGACACTAAAGGACAAACTGTCTAAGCAATGACGTGGCATAGGAAAATATATATTTAATCATTGAGCCATGTTATGTGGTTGTATCTATTGATTCCTGATGGATAGATTCTGGAGCCACTAAACATGTTTGCAATTTATTGTAAGGATTTCAGGAATCCAGAAGTCTTGATGATATGGAAATATATTTATCTTTTGACCTGATGCCAAGGTTGTAGTTAAGTCAGTGGGAGTATTACATCTGAAATTAGAGAGTATGAGGATATTAGTATTAGAGAATCATCTTTATGCACAGTGGTTAGACGCTATCTAATTTTTGTTTCACTTGTGGTTTATAAAAAACTAGATCGTTATTTTGTAAAACTGGTTTTATAAAATTGAATAGATATGTGATTGCTTCTGGTGTATTGAAAGATGGTTAATATACTATAATCACAAGCTCTTAAGATTTGCAGGATGTAGAAACTAATGTTGCATCTTCTAGATTGAATGTTAAGAGAAAATTTGTTATTCCTGACTCATTGTATTTTTGGTGTCTATTTTTGGGTTGTAATCAATCAAAATGAGATTTAAAGATTGGTTAAAGAAGGTTTATTACCTAGTGAGGCAGAGGAGCCTAAACCAAACTTGTGAATCTTGTTTTGAAGGATAGATAACTCTAAGGGCTTAATCAGCCAAATGAAATAGACATAAAGAACAATTGGAGTCGGTACACACGTACACGTGTAGTCTTATGAACATCCAATCAAGATTACTCACGTTTTGGATAAATTTACCTGTTGCGACACAAGTCTTATACTTTTGGTATATTCCGAGAGGGTCAAGACTGATGTGGAGCTCAGATTAGGTAAACTTATCAAGACACTTCGATCTGATCGAGTATTTGAGTATTTCTTGGGATATTGCAAAGACTATATGGTCAATGAGGGTGTTGTGTACCAGTTTTCCGCAATTGACGCTAAATTAATTTAGGTGTCAAATAGGAATAACAGAATTCCACTTAACATGGTTAGATCTATGATCAGTAATGCCACATTATCTCTTTCATTTAAGAGTTTAGCGTTAATGACATCGATGCGCATTATGAACTGCATTCCATCTTAGTCTGTCTCAAGGATACCGTTGAGCTGTGTTTTTGACTAAATATTAGTTTGAATCATATGCACATATGGGGTAGTCTTGCACACGTGCGTTTGATATGGACAAGTAAGTTGGAATCAGATCATAGGCATCTAGATTTGATAGCTACTCTAAATGTCACTAGGATGGATTATTTTATGATCTCAAAGATAAAAGTTGATTGTTTTCACTCACTGTTTATCTATAGGAGAATCATATTATGAATCACATACCTAGTAGCATAATGTTAGAGAATTTGGTATGAGTACCAAATGTACCACATGTGAACACACTTATTATAGAGATTGAGAATAATATATGAATTCCCCATTGATGCGTTAGCATCATCTACAACACAGATTCTTGCATCGGTACATTGATGTAGTGGGAGGATTATCATCCAATTCGACAGAATCATGTTTTTAGGTGAGACCATTATGGACATCCCTGTTAAACATGAGTTGGACCCAGTAAGCTACACGGAAGCGTGAACCGATGTGGATACAGATCGTTTTGGTGAGTTACTATGAAATCAGAGTTGGAATCTATGTATTCTAATAAATTCTGGGATCTTGTAGAACTTTCTAGTAGGGTGATTCCTATGGAAGGCAAGTTAATCTACAAAAAGATACCAGAAGATTTCTTAGTGAATAAATCATGAGTGTACAAGGGAATGTCATTATTTTTCTTAATTCTATATATTGATGACATTCTACTCATTTATAATGACGTGGAAGTTTTGTCATCAATTAAAAGGTAGTTGTTCAATTACTTTTAAATGAAGGAATTTCAAGATGTAAGCTATATTCCTAGGATCAAGCTTTTGCAAGATCAGGTTAAAAGGAAAATAGGCTTATCTTAATAATCCTACATTGATAAAGTTTTGACCAGGTTTGGTATGCATAACTCAAAGAATGAGTTCTTGCTTTATTGATATGGATCGCTCTCTCTAGTAAGTAGTTTTTCAAGACTAGCAGAGGAGATTGAGCAAATGAGACTGGAACAATATGTTTCGGCATATGAGAGTCTCATATATGCCATGGTCTATACCAAACAGGACATCCGCTACATGGTAGGGATAGTCAGTAGAGATCAGTCCAATACTGGACTTGACAACTGGTCTATTGTGAAAAATATCATTAAGTACCTAAGGAGAATCAATGATATCATACTCATTTATGGATGTGATTATATGGTCCTAGTCAGGTATGCTAGTTCTGATTTTCAATCAGAAGTAGATACTATGAGGTTCATGACTTAGTGTATGTTCACTTAATGGAAGGGAAATCAGTTGGTAGATTGTCAAGCAGATTTCAACTGTTGACTCAAACCTGCAGGTGGAACATATTGCAGCCTTAAAGGTGGCAATATAAGCCTATTGGTTTGATCTCACTGATTTAGAGGTTGTGGAGCATACTAACCTGCCTATCGAGCTATATTGTGACAATAGTGCAGAAGTAGTCCAAACCAATGACCCAAGGTTCCATAGAGGAACAAGATACACTGAGAGGAAGTATCATGTTCGACATGATATTGTCCGGCAAGAAAATGCACTTGTAGTTAAAACATTGCATTGGAACACAACTTTGTTGATCCATTATCAAAGGTGTCATTGATCAATAATTTTGATCATCATCTGGATAACATTGGAGTTAGGTGCAATTTGAATTGGCTATGAGGGCAAGTGGGAGCTGTTAGGATTTATATGCCCTGGCATAGCAAATTCCTATCTGGATTGTATTGACATATGTTCCTGACATATCTGAAATATTTATGATTTATATAATTGGTGAATTCAATGTATTATATTTCAAATTCACTATGAAATTGATAGTGTCCAGTTAATTACAAGAAATATTTATATATATGTATGTGATGACAATCAATGCATGATATATAAATAGTAATTATAAATTGTTCATAGTCGGTAATTATGGATGGACTCATAATTAATTAAGACTTGAACTGGATCCGCGTTAGGTTGAGATATATTGCGAGAGCCGTCGTATGCAATTACTCCCTATCACCGTCATGGCATTTGACTCTTAAGCATGAGAAAAGTATAGACTCTTTTATTAATTAATAATTACTTTGATTTGTTCGGCGGATTCTTCGGGATCCTTAGACCGACACTTTGGGTAGTTATGTAATTAATAGTTAGAGGGTTATATTTTCAATATTTGCATCATTGCTACTTGTATTTATTTTGTATTGATTATGGTTGATCACAAAGTAAATTCGAAGGCCTTCGTGTGTTTTTAGACAAAATGATTTATTATATATTTATTTATTTAAATTATTATTTTTGTCAAACAAATGTTTTATTGTGATCGAGCCAGAAATAATCAAAGGTACCAAAATAAATATATTAATTAAGTAGTCGGATTGATGGCTATATTTATCCGATAACTAATTATGCATAGAGGGGTCAAAGTGCAATATTGACTTAGAGGTTATTTATTATTTAATTGGAGTTCAATTAATTTCTTTTAGTGGAGTAGAAATTAATTTATGAATTAATTGAATTGGGTCCATGGACCGGGCCAATTATTAATTCATTGTAGCCAATAAAATAATAGGCCCAATGGATTCTCACTCATAGCCCAACTTGATATTGGAATCATATTAGATTTGAGACATATGAATTAGAGATGGAGAAGGATTTGTTGTTTCCTTTTCTTTATTTTTATGTTGCCTATAAATATACATGGTCTATGTATATTTTAGGGTGTGATTTTTATGAGAAGGAAAAATGAATAAATTTTCTCTCTCTAGAAAATTAGGGTTTATGTTCTCATCTAATGGAGGCTCCCACAAGCCTAGTTTTCCAAGGTCATTCATGGAGGCATATGAGTGATTCCTAAAGGCAAAACAATTACCAAGAAGATGGAGATCCAAGGAGAATGCATCTAGCAAAAGGGATCTACAATAAGTGAGAACATTCACTTTAGAGGAGAGATCTGAGGTTTACTCAAACCTTGATGTAAGTATTCAATCTTTTAGTTGAATAATACATCATATTTTATTTTATTTTTTGCATAAAACTTGTCTCTATGTGATGAATCAAGATCTATGAATTTAAATCCCTCGAAAAGTTTTTAAAACTAGCACGTTTCCCAACATAAACATGTTAAAATGGATCCCTGTAGATCTTGGGTTGGGCTAGCTTCGTGGGCTTGGGTTCTCCTATATGGAGTCACGTATGATGTTGCACCTATGTGCTTCTTTGGTTAGCTTTGGGCTAATCTTACTTTCGTTTTTTGGCTGTACATTTGTTTATATCTATATTTATGAAGGAAAGCATGAAGGAAAGGAGAAAGGAAAGTTTAACGAAAAAAAAAACAAAAGTACTGCAAGGAAAGTAGTTTCCAAATCGACCACGTTACCGACAGTCCAATCAGATGGCTAAAAGGAAAGGGCAGAATCTTCTAGAACCCTTAAACAACCTATATAATAACATCGAAGCTTCACTCCATTCAATATTTCCTAAACAATCGCAAACCCTAATCAGCTACTCTTTCTCTCTCGATTTTACCTAAGTTTAGTTCCCTAAGTCTCTAGATCTTGCTCGATTCTGCGTTATTGTTCCAAATCAATCAATGGCAGGAAAAGGAGAAGGTCCGGCGATCGGAATCGATTTGGGGACGACGTACTCGTGCGTCGGAGTGTGGCAACACGACCGCGTTGAAATCATTGCCAATGACCAGGGTAACAGAACGACGCCGTCCTATGTCGCCTTCACCGACACAGAGCGCCTCATCGGCGATGCTGCCAAGAACCAGGTCGCCATGAACCCTATCAACACCGTCTTCGGTAAGATATCTATATCTATCTCTATAAGCGTCCTAGTAACATATATATTTTCTATGTGAACCTATTTCTTTCCCTTTTTCTCATATGTATTGTGAAAATTGTGTATACTGATGGCCTATAATATAACTTGTTATTTAGATTTTGATTTATATGTACTCCAAGATTCAACCTTGAATGTGTGCTTATCAGTACGTGTTTTATGATTGAAAGAATTTAATATTGTTTTCAGTTATCAGTATTAATGTTTCATATGTATGTATATTAATTTCTGATTTGTATATGTTCTGTGATTTTGATTTTGTTTTCATTTATGGAACGCTCCCTATAGTGAATATGATTGACAGAATTTAATATTGTTGTTAGTTATCAAGGATTAATGTTTTATACTCATGTATATTAATTTCTGATTTGTGTATCTTCTGTGATTTTGATTTTATTTTCATCTATAGAAGGCTCCCTACAGTGAATTATTAATTTCTGATTATGGGCTTAAAGTTAACTGGACACAAGTATGGGCATAAAGTTTTTTTTTTTTTTTTTTTGCTTTATAATTTAATATAGTTTGCATAAGTATGGTGATCAAATGGCTGATTTCGAGTAGGAATATGTGCAAAGAATTGAAATGGAATTTTTTTGTTAGATGCAGCTTTGTAGACTTAGCTTTAATACCGTAACTTTATACACCAACACCTACTTCCTTTTGATCTGTTCTAATGCTATGTTTGGCGGCACCGAATCGAGGCCTTGGATTAGGATTGAAAAAATTTAGTACAAATTTTGAACTAAACTTTCTCCAATCCCACATCCAAAGCACCAATTCGGTGCTCCCAAACATAAGAAATTGACCATCACTCATCAATTGACATCACGATTTTAGTACAAATTTTGAACTACACTTCCTCTAGGGGCTTAATATTGGATTCACCAAATATTATTGGATCTACAAGTGAGAGTTTGGAAGAGAATATACAAATGGACTCGGATTAATACCAAACTAGAGATAAAAATTAATTCTAATTCAGTGTAAATCAAGATACTATGTTCATCAGTTTTCTGGTTCTTCAAATTTGTTTTTTCTGAATTCCAGATGCGAAGCGATTGATTGGTAGGAGGTTTACTGATGCATCAGTTCAGGCTGATATGAAGCACTGGCCATTTAAGGTTGTTCCTGGTCCCGGTGATAAGCCAATGATTGTTGTAAACCACAAGGGTGAGGAGAAACAGTTCTCTGCTGAGGAGATTTCATCCATGGTTCTCATTAAGATGCGTGAGATTGCAGAGGCGTATCTCGGCTCCACGATTAAGAATGCAGTTGTCACTGTCCCTGCTTATTTCAATGATTCCCAACGTCAGGCCACCAAGGATGCTGGAGTCATTGCCGGCCTCAATGTCATGCGCATCATTAATGAGCCAACCGCTGCAGCCATTGCATATGGTCTTGACAAGAAAGCTACAAGTGTTGGTGAGAAGAATGTGCTTATCTTTGACCTCGGTGGTGGCACTTTCGATGTATCTCTTCTCACCATTGAGGAGGGTATCTTTGAAGTGAAGGCCACCGCTGGTGACACTCACCTTGGAGGGGAAGACTTCGATAACCGTATGGTGAACCATTTTGCTCAGGAATTCAAGAGAAAGCACAAGAAGGACATCAGTGGAAGCCCCAGAGCTCTTAGGAGGTTGAGAACTGCTTGTGAGAGGGCAAAGAGGACTCTTTCCTCGACTGCCCAAACAACCATTGAGATTGATTCATTGTACGAGGGAGTTGATTTCTACACAACCATTACTCGTGCCAGATTTGAGGAGCTAAACATGGATCTCTTTAGAAAGTGTATGGATCCTGTTGAAAAGTGTTTGAGGGATGCCAAGATGGACAAGAGCAGCGTCCACGATGTAGTCCTTGTCGGTGGATCTACTAGAATTCCAAAGGTGCAGCAGCTATTGCAGGATTTCTTCAACGGGAAGGAGTTGTGTAAGAGCATTAACCCAGATGAGGCTGTTGCTTATGGTGCCGCTGTGCAAGCTGCAATCTTGAGTGGTGAAGGCAATGAGAAGGTTCAGGACCTGTTGCTGTTGGATGTTACCCCTCTATCCCTTGGTTTGGAAACTGCTGGAGGAGTCATGACTGTTTTGATTCCGAGAAACACTACAATTCCTACCAAGAAGGAGCAGGTGTTCTCTACCTACTCTGATAACCAACCTGGTGTGCTGATTCAAGTGTACGAGGGTGAGAGGGCAAGAACAAGAGACAACAACTTGTTGGGCAAATTCGAGCTCTCTGGCATTCCTCCTGCTCCTAGAGGTGTTCCGCAAATCACCGTTTGCTTTGACATTGATGCCAATGGTATCTTGAATGTATCAGCTGAGGACAAAACCACTGGTCAAAAGAACAAGATCACTATCACTAATGACAAGGGGAGGTTGTCCAAGGAAGAGATTGAGAAGATGGTTCAGGAAGCTGAGAAGTACAAGTCCGAAGATGAGGAGCACAAGAAAAAGGTTGAGGCGAAGAATGCTTTGGAGAATTATGCCTATAACATGAGGAACACTGTGAAGGATGAAAAGATCAGTTCTAATCTCTCACCGGATGACAAGAAGAAAATCGAGGATGCTATTGATGAGGCCATTCAATGGTTGGAAGGAAACCAGCTTGCAGAGGCAGATGAGTTTGAGGACAAGATGAAGGAGCTTGAGAGCATCTGCAACCCCATCATTGCCAAGATGTATCAGGGTGGCGCTGGACCTGACATGGCTGGTGGCATGGCTGAAGATGGACCCTCTGCCGGTGGAAGTGGTGCAGGCCCTAAGATTGAGGAGGTTGATTAAGAAGTACTAAGTTTTTTTTTTTTTTTACTAGGAGATTTTACTTGGGTATATTTATTTTGTTTGATGTTTGGGCAAGTGGCAGTTAGAGGATATATTATCTGGTTGATGAATCTATTTCAATGGCAACAAGTTTTTTCATAATATTTTGTTATATTTGTCCCGTCCTCATGCAGTGGGTGCAATAACTGAGCTTAAAGCAAGAATGGTTTGTTAATTTTGTAACCAATTACAAGCATTTCTCATTGATCAGATCATGATGTCAATTGATGAGTGATAGTCAATTTCAATAACCTTTATGATAAATCAATTGATAACTTTAATAAAATTAAAAGCACAAACTAATTAAGTCCAAATAACACAAAAATGGTACGGCCATGGAATCTTAGTGCTATGAGAAGTAGTTACAGCCAAGGAAACAAGTTCCTGAAGGCACACCCTCTTTCAAGAGGATTCGGGGCATGTAAAGCCCTGGTCCCAACCTGTAAGGGGCTATGTCAAATTTTGATCCAGAAAAAGTCGACAAATAGAGGAGATTAACCGAGTATAATGGATTAAACTGGATTATTTTTCTAATTTTATTTTTTTAACTCTCAAAATTAATGAGAACACTTGTCATGTTATTCTTAATGAGGAAATTGGAACGCTCCACACACAATCTTATTTAAGATAAATATACATTAGATTTTATACTTTCTCCTATTTGAGACATCTATTTCAGTCATGAAGATTGCATGTGTGATAAAAGTGTCTATTAATTTTTATTTGGGACCACAATCACAAGAGAACAATACCAGATTTTAGTTCTTAATCAATTTTAATTAGGGCTAATTCCATAAAACTCTCACTACTTTCAAATTTTGATCATAAACTCCTAACCTATTTTAGAAAATCCATTTCTGGCTATAGTTTCTGTTACTCTGCTCATTTCATAAAGTATTTAACCCGGTTTAACAACAGCTACCCAAAATTCAGGGGATCCTTTCCCGAATCCATACGCGTTTCTGTAGGTCTTATTGTAACCGGTTTGTCGGGAAAAATACATACCCATATTTTTTTCACCACGACGTGCATTTCGTGTCATTGTGTTGTGGTTTTGTGGAGTCTGATTAGGTGAAAGAATTTTAGGAAGATTTAATTATATTGAAATTTAAGACTGCTGAATTTTAGGGAAAATTCAGTTCCTTGATCTGTTTTAACTTCTTTATTGGTTTAGAAATTCAATTTCTTGATCTGTTTTAACTACCTTATTGGTTTTGGATTCTACAAAAGGTAATTTCTTGTAGGACAAAATTTTGGGGCTATATATATAAACTCTAATTAGATCTTAGGGTGTGGTAAAAATAAAGGGAGAAAAAAGAGAGAATTATCATATGTCAATATAAGAGAGAGATTGAAAAAAAATTTTCCATTGTAATTCTTTATCTTCTTCATAGTGAATTTGTTCGGTGTGCTCCATGGACGTAGTCATAAGATTTGGGTGAACCATGTATATGTGTTATTGTGTGTGATTTTTTTAATTCTTCATAATTGCTTATTTATTCCTTAAATAACGTTGTTATTTGCGTTTCTACCACAACAATTGATATCAAATTCGGTTGATTGTGCAGAGCAACTCCAACACATTGCTCGTTGTTCGGCTTCTATTTGTCTATATGTGATCCAAGCGGGTTCAAGTGCCTGAAGAGCATATTTACCGAAACAAATATGATTACCTCGATAAGATATTCCCTTCATTCTTCCTCTATGTTGTTTACAAAATCTGGTTCTTTTGGGGTTATAGTTGATTGGTTGTTTCTCAATTCCATCTCTACTACAGAACCAAATGTGAGAGTTTCTTCTCATCCAGCTCCTCGCGAATAGAAGGATTCAAATTAAAAATTATTTAAATAAAATTGAAGATATACAGGTATTTAATATTTAATGAATAATACATTGAATCGTGGGATTCTTTGAGATTTCATTTAATTTATTAGTAATTTGTATATCTTATTTGGATATATAACTAAACATATAAAATATATATATTTCTATTTATAGATAATATTGTTTTTTATAGGGCTATAGCGAATCTTTTTTTATTTTGTCCCTTATCGTATTGAATTGTTCAAAATTTAGCAATCTAAGAAAAGAAAGTTTTCGCGGACGAATATTTACTCTTTCAATATCTATTTCAGTTGTAAGGTTAGCTCATGACTTCTCAAAATAGATGAATTGGTTCTCCATTCGTTCTGCCATCCCGACCACTTAATATCATTTGGATTCTGTTTCAATAGAATCTTCTGCATTCATAGGTTCTGTTGTTCCCATCGCTTCTTGCTTAATGGTTAGGTCTGAATTCTACAATGGAGCTCTTAATGAAATTTTTTTCTGTTGTCCAAAATATGGTCTAAGTATACTATATACTATAGTACTGTTTATTTAAATATTATGTAAAAATATAATGTTTTTATATATATATTGAATTAGTATAAAATAATAATCTATATATATAATTACTTATAATATATAGTTTAATAAAATAAAAAACTATAAATAATGGAACCTGATTAAAAGTCGAGGCTAGAATTTTATTCTATGTCCTTAAGACAGATTCGCCTCGCTATGGTGCTAACGGACTCGTGGCGTCTATCTCCCATGATACATTGACTTGTCTTCCTTCGGTAGTAGCACTGCAAACTAAAGGAATAGGCGAACCGGCTCGGTATAGTACTCTCTGACTCGAAACCGGACTCAGAGTAACTGACTAAGGCTCGAACCCAAATACTAAGGTTCGAACCCACAGACTAAAGAGAGAAAGAGGAAGAAGAAAATTCAGAAGAAGAGAAGAATTCTCTGAATTTTGGTGTGATTGCAAATGACCCCAAAGGTTGGTATGTATAGGAAACAAAGTGCCTTTTCGGGTATGGGTGCAACCATGTGTCATGTTGGTTCATCACAAGTTGCATCCCTTTAGAAATAGATGCAACTCTTTGGAAAATAGATGTAACCCTTTGTAAATAGATACAACCCTTTAAAAAAAAAAAAAAAAACTAACTTTTAATTTAAATTAAAAAATCAACCACCCATTTAAATAAGCCCAACTCAAAAATAAAGGCCCAATCCAAAAATCCATTTAGTAAAAACAATAATCGGATTTTACAATTAGGCCCAAGCCCAAGCCCAAGCCTAAATTTGGCTTATTTAAATTTCAATTGGTTTCAACATTTTTTCTATGTGGGACAAATACTTCCCACATTTTGCATACCCATTTAGGCTTATCAAAACACCACACTTTGGAGCTAATTTCTCATTCACCCGGAAACGGATTTGAGAAAGTAAATATACCACGTTTATCTCTTTGTGGAGAGAAACGCGCTCGTTTAGAGATCCGCAAAAAATTTTTAACGGAATCTATTCCAAATCTTATTCAAAGTTTATGTTTTTTAATACCCCCATTTCCAACAATCCCCCATATGAATGGAAATTTGCGTAAAATGCAAATGAAGAAGATACAAACACTAGAGGGAGTACTATTGGAAAGTTACTGCATCGGGATAGGTAGCTTTTGGCCATTGTAATACCTCAATATTTTAAATGATTTATTAATTGAAATTAATTACTTTTATTTTCATTTAAATGATTTATTTGATTTAATTTGAATGTGTTTATTTATTTATTTATTTTTTTTATATTTGATTTGTTTTATTGAGTGCTTAGATTAATTATTTTATTTATTTATATTTCGTGAATTATTGGTATGATGATTGATTGTTTGTGTACGTAATTATTGATGGAATTATTGGCGTGTTGATATGATGTGACTTAGTTGTACATTCTAGTTTGTTTATATGCTTCATGTAATTAGTTATTTTAATTTAAGTGTTTATTTAATTATTTTATATATTTAAATTAATTGGATTGGGCTTAAGGGAAATTGGACCAAATGATATGGTCTTGGGCTTGAACCAAACTTTATTTGGTTAATTAATAAAGCCCATGGTTTTGTGATTTAAAATAATAATTTTTGTATAATTATAACTATATATTTAATTATATATAAATATAATTAATTAGTTAGTGTTATAGAAGGATATACATATAGATATATATTTATGGATATATATAGGATATATGATTTAATTAACCAATTGTTAATTATGGAAGATATATATATATATATATATATATATATATATATATATATATATATATATATATATGTAGGTAATATAATATATGTTTGTATATATATTATATTATTTAAAAGATAATTATTATTATTTTTAGTTAGTAATCCTAGTAGGAATAAGATTAGGGTAATTAATGTGTATAAATATACACATAAGGTTTTATTGTTAAAAATTTTATACGTTAGAAAAATAAGAGAGACAAAGAAAGAGAAGAAGAAGAAAAGGCTGATAAGGAAGGGCCAGATCTGAGAAAGAGGATGTCGGGATTGGAAGAGTCAATCAAAGTTTGAAGCGTCGGTTTTGTTTCGAAACCTTCAGGTGAGTTCTTCCTGACTTTCCTCTTAGAACTCCTAAAGATTTCACCTTGAGTATCAATATTAAAATTAAATTTGTTGGTTTAAAATCATGGTTAGATTTGATTAATTAAAAGAATAAATTATTATATTTTACTTTCTTTTAATTTTGGATTTTAAATTATTGATGTATGTGTTGTATTTATTTTTAAATTCAACTATTATGCTTGTTTTATGACCCAAGAGAGTTATTTTGGATTTATAGATTTTCTGGGAATTTTCTATAATTTTTGGAATTTTCTAGGTTGGTTTTATATTTTTTTTAGCTTTCTGTTTGAATTATTTATATTTAATCTGGGTATATTTTTATGAATAATATTATACTGGGGGCTGTAATATATTGGCGTGTGCAAAAAGGGCCAATGGATTCTATGCGGCAAGGTGCACAGCACCTTGGTGCGCTGAAATCAGGACTTTTGGATGGTCCTGATGGTCATCTAATGTTGCGGTGTAGTGCGGTGCATGGGGAGATGATGCACCGCTGATCTGGATCATTGGTATGGTCCAGTCAACAGCTGGAAGTTCCGGTGAAGCGCGGTCCATGGAGAGATGGTACGGCTCCAAGATCTGACCGCTAGATGTAATTAATGGGTGGAAGAGGATTCGGTGTGGATGGGCTCACAAGACAA